ATTAAAATCAAAACATAAAAGATATGAGAAGCTTATTATTTTTAGTTAAACTTCTCACATCTTTCTTTTTACATTGAAAAAAAAGAAGAAAGATGAACTATGAAGTTCAGCTAAAAAATGTCAAATATATTTACTTTAATATCAAATTCTTCCACTTCCAATGATGTCTCTTCATCTTTCTGAGCATTCCTAATTCTCCGAATCTCTCTATAGGCACTTTCAATCTACATTGAATAATTATACAATGAAACAGATCTACTTTACTTATTTATCTCAAAGAAGTCGGGATGCATTACCTCGGAAAATCTAATAGCATCAGCTTCTGGGGTTCCACTATCTGGATGAAATCGTTTCGCAAGATGAACAAACGCTAATCTTAGGGTCTCGTCCTCGCAATTCTCTGCAACTCCTAACGTTTCATACAGTTTCTATCAAATATGATTTAAATTATTTCATTAGTACAATTATATATTAAGTAGGGATTATATGATATTCAATAATATACCTTTGCAGTTTGCTTAGCATTAAATCGATGCACGAACCTCTTGGAGATCAACAAGATCAACTCTGCGGATGACACGTGCGAAAAATAAGCTCCCGGCTTGATACACAGTCGATTTAAAGACAACATGATCTTTCAACGTTACGAACAATATCACGTTGTAATTTCTATATTGCTGCTCATTACATAATTATCGCGAAATTATTTCATTACATACGCAAAATTATTCTTGCCTGTCATGACTGTCGTACGCATCGAACGTCACTGATCGTCACACTAAAGTGAAGAATCGCGCCAAATTTAAATCCGCGTACATTGATTGGTTAAGCATAAACAATAATTGGCTTTACTTCTCGATTATTGGAGATCAAGAGTGTAGTTTCTACACTTACAGTACTTCATAGTGCTGATGTTCAGCTAGAATTCTGTAAGTGGGCTGGAATTCGTATCACTGATTGTCAGTTGTCATTCGCATTTAAAATGTTAGCCACGGCAAAATGAGGTTATATCTTGTTTTTATTACGATTATCTGCCTTCTGTGGGATCAAAACAAACGTTTAGTGCTTGCGAACAAAAGTACCGAGCCTCAGCTGGAGTATAGACCCGATGGTCCACTAGTGATGTGTAAATTCTTGTGAGTATTCAAGTAGAATTTTCCTAATGTTTCAACGAAATAAATATTGACTGTTTCTTAACGAAATAATACAATGAGTGTTTCTTGTAGACCTAAGGAATTTGTAGAATGCGAGGATCCGGTTGATCACAAGGGAAACAAAACTGCTAAAGAGGAGACAGGCTTTGGTTGTGTCAAGGTACGACACAGCTGTGAGAGTTTTTTCAATAAGGAGATAATACTTTCCTGCAATATACATAGACAACTGTATTCATAATTGGTTCTTATATTTAAGATAGTCTTAAGATATCATGAACCAGTCAGAAAGTCATATTAATATCTGAAGACATTACTTAAGACAATCTTAAAATAAGACCTAAGTATGAATATCAGCTATAATGTACAATTTCGTACTTTCTGACTATAACACAAGTTGACACAATTGTATTATTATTTTATATCATTTCGCAAATACTAAATTTTTACATTTCATTACCATTTATATTTCTAGGAGTGATACTCCGATAAGAGATTTTAAGATTACATTCGGATATATTCAAACAAAGTATGAGACTTTTTTCTTTATTTTATTTTGGCAATAAAATAAAAAAATTAAGCAATGTTACAGCTACAAATTGACACTGTATATTACTGTGTCACATTATATATGACTGTGTTCTATGAAAAGCATCCAGTGTAACATTTCATTCTTCTAATTTTGACAAATAACAAGGCTGTAATGATTCACTATTATTACTGTTATACTATGTCATCTGTGTCTCTTGCTGGAAAATACTCTCTATTACACTATATCTTTGCTGGAAACATCCTGAGTAATCAAGTTTTTCTGTTCTTTTGGATAATTTATAAAATTTAAATAACACGAAATTCATAGAAAATGATAAAAAATGTTTCCTTTATAACTACACAATTGCAGCTGTAAGAAATTTAGATGCAAATTATTTACAATTAATAAATTAACAGTTTGGAGGATCTCGTTATGAAGATGTAGAGAAGACTAAGGTATCCTGTACAGTACTACCAGATATTGAGTGTTTTGGACCAAGGACATTCTTTCGTGAAGGGATACCATGTATAAAGTACAGTGGCCAATACTTCGCAACAACTCTCCTGTATAGTATTCTGTTGGGTTTTCTCGGTATGGATCGATTTTGTCTCGGACAGACTGGAACAGCAGTAGGCAAACTGTTGACATTAGGTGGCATGGGTGTGTGGTGGATAGTTGATGTTATTTTGTTGGTAACAAACTCTTTGCAACCTGAAGACGGCAGTAATTGGAATCCATATGTATAGCATTTCAAGAAACCAGGGATCACTTTTTGTACATAACTTAGTTTATAATTTGTGAGATAACGTGTGATTTCTTGCGAGAACAGTCAACTTATTAGACGAGTCTTAGATTGTTCAATCCTTGACCGTCATCTCCTATCTCAGTTTTATAAGATTTATTAGAAAATTTAAATTAAGTGCAGAAATATAAAATTAAAGCGAATAATTTAATTCTCATTTGGGGAATTTATTTCACACATATTTAAATTATAATTATAATTATTTCATATTTAAATATTATAATTATAATTGTAAATAAACCATTGCAATGCGATAAAGATTAATTTATAATATGTAAAGTATATTGCAAATCCTCTTTAATGTAAGATAAATATGTGTTAATTTGTATAAAAATAAATTATAGAGATCAGTTTAGACAAAAAAAAAGGATTGTGATTAGTTTATATATACAATTGTTTATAATTCGTAATCGTCGGGATGGTACAATTCACTAAGCAATCTATATACATAAGACGGCGCATTTCCACCTCTGAAAAAGAAAGAACAAAGACATTTATTGTTGTTCGAGATTTTAACATTAATCTATAATATATAATAATCTTAATAATGTACAATATAATATATAATAATCTTAATAATCTTACGTATTCGAGATGAATAATGTAACAAGTTCAGGTGGAACGTAATCGAATACAGGATTGTAAGCATGTATCCGTTCTAGCAATGGTGCGTTGGCACTATCGATTACGCCATTCATCGGCGAAACGTGACAATTAAAGCCATTTTGTTTGCCCGAGCAATGATAAAGGGGCGCCAGTTTGTAGAGAGGCAGCAAAACCATTACTGGAACAGAATAGTGCTTGGCGGCTTGCGCGACAGTGTGTGCGCCCGAAATCGCCCGAAGTCCACCATTTGCCATGACTGTGTGAGTGCCAATGATGACTTTGTTGACTCGGGACATCATCGCGAAGATCGCTACATCTGATATCAGTGTAGTCTTGATCTTTGCCTTAGCCAGATTCACTGCCATCTCATGACCCTGCAATTCATAGATTTTTCTCTTTTGCATTCTCCTCTGTTTAATTTCGAGTTTGTCCTTTAAGCTAGGTATATAATTACGCTTAGAGACGGTCCACCTTCAGCTACTATAACATCAAAGGCCCTGGTAGCAGCAGCTTTTTTGAAAAATTCCTCTACCAATTTCGACTTGCCGATAGTCATTATAATTTCATTTGAGTGTATATGCTCGGATGCTTGTCGTGTGATGTTTTCTGAACTGGGAACACATTAAATTTGTTCAAAAGACTATTAAGAAATGTATTTTGAAAGGCTGTTATGGAATTATCATGAAATGATTCGAGCTAATACATAAGGGGTAAGAAGAAATAGTAAACATTGAAATTAGATTAAAAATTTCTAATAATAAGTGCTTTCCATTTGATAATACAAGTTGAAATAAGTATCGTTCTGCTTTTGTTATCATTGAATGTCATGAAAGATAGAATAATGCTTATGTTGACTTGTTATTAATGCACTCATAGTTGCATTATATCATAGAAATTATATTATTTTTAGATTTATTTTTTTTTCAGCTTTGTATATCATTTAGCTTTCTTCATTTTTTTTTCTTTTTATATTAGAAAGGAAAGAAAGATACAAGAAGTTCAGCTGAAAGGAATAGATGAAATATGGTACAGATGTGATTGTACTTACCATGTTTCCAATTCCGTTTCAAATTCATTAATGTGTTCAATGAGAGAGGCCTTGAGAGAAGGTACCGAAACGTTGAAATCTATCTGTTGGTTATCCTCAGCAGTAAGAATTTTGTGCAAGGACTCCTGGGGATACATCTCATCTGTCTTACTCTTCAATTCCAAAGTATATTCTTCCCTAATGATCTGCAATATCCTTCTTACCATATTTCCGATACATGCTTCAAGAGGAAGTGTTTTAACGAGGTACTTTCCATTTTGCACAACAATATCCATTAAATCTCTAGAAAATTAAGCTTAAAATTAATAATGTAAGTTGCAAAAGTTAATGGAAAGTATTTTCTGTTTTGGCAAAATGAATATGTGCTCTGGCATGTGTTGCAACAAATGATACAACAGCTTTAAATAAAAATCCATACTTTGCTGTATTCCAGTGTGTATTATTGATAATTTCCTTAAGCACGAAAATAGTAGCCACCACGATATTGTGAGTGCCCTTAATTTCTCTGCAAAATATGGCATATTAATCATATTTTTTTTTTCCATTTTCTAGGAAATTGAGTGAAAATTATCCTACCCATAGTGAATACTATCTGTCAACTTCAGCACACTTTCATTAATTTTCTCTTTCGAATTCATGTCAATCATTTTACTAGCGTTCAAATATATAGTTACATGCAATACAAAATATCTTGTTACGTATTTCAGAAATTCTTGAAACTACTTTCGTCTATATGCGATGTGATTCCAATTTCCACGTCTGTGGCCTAGTAAATAACTAATATAAACTAGGCCTGTATCGCAAGTAGCAAGCTTGTGTGATAGCCAATCTGATGCATCAATATTGCACATGCGCAGTTCGACTTTCCATTAAGGCACAGCGATAGCGATAGAAATAGCGATAGCATTAGCGATAGCGATAGCAACAGAGGAATCCAATATACGGGAATGAAGAGGTTTATTTTCTGTGATTGAACTAGTGTACACTTTTGGAACTTAAAGTGAGATAGATATATGTTTGATATTTGTCGAAAGCGAGAAAGAGAATTCTAGAACAGTCTAGTGCAGGAACAGAAAACAGATCACATATGTCAATGCACATAAGCTATCACAGACAATAAGAATACATCAAGCGTGAAGTTTGAAGGACTAGGTAGAAAAGGACGGACAATGGATACCGTATAGTTTTCTCTTTCTGACGAAGAAAGAAAGGGGAGGGGGGAAGTGAGTTGTGAAAAAAAAGAAAAGTAGAGAAATAGTTTGAGTATGACAGAAAGAGTGACATGTTCAAAGAACAGAGAGAGAAAGCTACGTGGCATCTGTTCTCTGTCCTTTTTCACCTAATCTTCATACCAAAGTAAAAGACACGCTCGGTCTATTATTATATCTATGATCGCTATCGCTGTTGCTTTCGCATTGTGTTTAGGCCTTAAGAATTTCAACCTATCAGAAATCATATATTGTGGAATACACAGTTTCTGATAGATTGAAATTTTTATCTCTGTTCTCTATTCTTTTCATTGTGCGCAGCCCCTTATAGAATGATTTATTTTTTAATGAAAGCACGTGTAGTTTAGCTCAGTGGCTGGCCTGACTGTTAGAGGTGTGTTGCGTTCTGTTCTATGCATGATATTTTATCACTTTATTGTTATGTCACGAATATTAAAGAAAGATAAAATGATATATCTTGTACATCATGAGTGGAACTACCGACAAGATATTATTAAAGATGGCAGGTCTTTCTCGTGACTTAAAATTTGAATGACTAAGTAAGAAACTAATAAATATAATACTAATTTTAGGATTTATTAATTTCGTAGACATATGCATATAATAACATGTGTTTAAAACTCAATAATACTTGTTTTTTACTTAAAATTATGATTTTAACGTTGTCAGTTTGATAATCAATAGATATGATAACTATAGAGAGAAACTTGTAATTTCGCAGCAATATGTAAGATATTATAGCAGTACAATAAGTATGCAAACTTATTTATGCACGTTTATATAATAAAAGATAATAAATTTAATGTCGGATCTGAATTTAATCTAACCTAATTTAGGCCAGGTTCGGATATTATATACTGTTAGCATTAAAAATCCATGTATGCCTTACGTAAATTATGGATTTTCAATACTGATAGTGTGTATATATATGTATAAAAGGGTGATTTTAACATATTTTATCACCCATCATGAGCAAGTAGAGTGAATCAAACTGAGTCGAAAAGTCATCTACCATTTTGCAGTTTACGCAATAGTTAACGAGATATTAATTACTAAAAATTGCCAAATATTGGTTTTGAATAATATTTTACTTAAATACTATTAACTTTATAGAAAAACTGCAAGAGACAAAAATCATTTATTTTCTTCTCATAAAACTCTAAAAATTTTTTCAGAATTTTTTATCAACTTTTTAATATTGCATTTTCTTATTTTTACCAACATGAGAAAATATGTATTAAAAAATTCTGAAAAAATTCTCACAATTTTATCAAAGAAGAAAATAAATGATTTTTGTCTCTTGCAGCTTTTCTATATATATATATTAATGTAATTATTCCAATTTTAAATGTGTCATATACATATATGTATGTATATGACACATTTAAAATTAGAATAATTTTTAAAGTCGTGACTTGCAAGCTGTGACCATATTCACCACACTCACCACACTGACCACTGTTGCAATCGAAGTATAGCAATAGTATCGTATATCATTGTCCGAAGAAAACGTGGTTTAAATGAACGATTCTCAGTGAGAAGATTACACAGTCATGAACTGCCCGGAACTCGTTTCTGATTACCGTAACCCAACAATCAAATGGTATCAGACAGATCTCAGCGTCGTTATTTCTATTCAATTGATCGACGTATCCGACTACTACCTCCGAATTGAAAATGGTTGTTTACAATTCAGGTAATCAGATGTGATAGAGGAAAAGGAGAAATACATATTTGATGTACATGAAACAATCCAATTTCAAATCTCGTTGCAGTACAGAGATAAATGATAAGAAATACTACCTCATTCTATATCTGTTTGGAGCAGTGGTAGCAGAAAAGACAGTGCACAAAAATCTCGTGAGAGAAATTAAGATCTATCTTCTGAAGGCACTCAAATGTACAGTAATTTTTTTCTCACCATAAAATAGCTGCTTTCCATTTACACCGATTCTTAGATAATTTTCACTTGTGACGTCATAACTCAGTTGAATGCGCGTTTCTTTTGCATTCTGACAAATGAGACTTTACTAAAGACTCAACTGAGTCTTTACCTATAATCTGCACAAAATCGAGACTATGTATTTTAATAAGTCTCGTAAATTCGAAACTTTAAAAATAAGATTATGAACCTATGTTGTCATATAATTTGAACTTTTTATCAAAGTAATGATGTCATTAATCTGAGTATGAAGTGCTCAGCTCACTTCAGACTCAGTTTCACTTGTGTGTAAATGAAAAGCAACTATTATTTCTATAAAGAACAGATTTACATCTCTGTTATATTTTGTTATCTTTGTTTTAATAGGGTATCCATGGTTAAGATTGATCAAGTCCAAAGAAAAGAATCCACTTATATCATACGACTCAGAACGTATAGAAGAGACAAATCACGTTCGAAATACTTATGACAGTAAGAATAATTATTTTTACTTATATATATATATTTTTTTAACAAGATGCTTAGCTATTATTTGCAAATGAATAAAGATGAGTTCTAAAGTCTTGTGTATGTAATGCTACAACTCGAAATCTTGGATTGATTTATAGCATCATGGATGCACACAGGACTTTAGCCTTCCAATTCTTTTTAAACTTGGGGTATGATCAACATGATGCTACAAATGCTTTGAATCATTCGTTGATTAGTCAATTAGTAAAATTTTTCTGATTATTCAATCAAATATTTTAGAGCATTTGTAGTGAGATTTTGACTGCACCGTTATATTAAATTCGCACGATTGGACGCACTCAATGTACGTTAAAATCGTACATAATTGATGTAAAAATGTGTTTAATATAAAGAATTAAACCGTGAAATCCTCAATACATTTTATTATGCTGTTAAGTAAAATATATATTTTATAATTCAAAATATCTGCATTTCACTTTCTTACATTCGATAAATCAGTATACCATAGCTTTAATATGCAACATACTACTGCGTCCAACCGAATTTGCTGTTATTCATGTATGTCTTATTTTGTTTTGTAGTAGGTAGATTCGAACGGTACAAACGTGAGCATAATATATCATATTTAATGCCTGTTGTGCCATCTAGCGATGAAGAAGAGTCTGAGGATGATTATATGGATTTTGTTCACTACGGTTAATATATTATATCAATTCAATTTCTTTAATGTGAATTTTTAACACTTATTGTATACACAAGAAATTTTTGATAATTATTACACAAGTAATTTTGATAATGACTTTTTACAGTTTCCATTGGAATGTTTCCACTGTAAATTTTTAATTGTACCTTATTGTATATGTTAGGCTCAAAGAAAACTCTCACAGAGCGAAAAAACCGACCACAACGCGTTATGGCGTTTGAGATTTAGCCACAATGCGAAATTCGTGCCGTGGCCCTTTCAAAAATGCTCACAGCGCATTCTAAGTTAAAATGCCACAACGCGCTCTGATCATTTATTATGAATAAATGAGTATGTAAACATGAATTATAACATGATTATTTACACATTCATTTTATTGTGGCATTTTAGCCAGAACGCGTATTGGTCGATTGTCAAAAGAACCATAACACGAATTTCGCTTTGTGGTCTTTTTTAATGTCAGAACACGCAGAGCCTAAAAACTATCCGCAATTTAATGATTAAACTTCTTGATATTGATTATAATGACTGAAATAATAAGGTATAATTTAAAATAAGTATAATTGTTATGTGATGTTTTATGTCTTGTTTATGTCCGTAATTTTATTTCCATAATTAAAATGGTACCTTTGTTCAAATATAATATTTTGTTGAATAAGATACGTATTTCATATATAATAGTTAAATTATTTACAAAATAAATATTTAAGGATTATCATTTACAAAATTGTCAAATGTCATAAAATTAATACATTTATTATCATATATACTTCTTTTCAGTAAAAATAATTAAATGTATTTTCATCATTCATCAATACTATACTGTTAAAAATGTAAGCACGAGCTTCCTTTATATGTAAATGAAACTCATGGTTATGAATGAAATTAAAAGATTAATAAATGATTTAACTGAAAATTAAATTACAGTAGTTACATAATGAACGTATACATTAAATTTAATAAATTTTCATAAAAAATACATTAAATTTCATGTACATGTACAAATATATACTTTTCAGTTATAAATACATTAAATTTAATGTAATGTCATGAAATTAAGTTAAAATTGTGTAAAAGTATATTAAATTTCATGAAGTTTTTAACAGTGTATATTCTTATATGATACATTCTATATGATATATATATATGCAGAGAATGGAAAGTTACTTTTAAAAGTTACAAGTTACAGTTACAGAGGAGAAAAAGTAACAAGTTACTAATTATCAATTTTTAAAAGTAACTCATTACAATTATTGTTACTTGAGAAAGTAACTCTTTATTATTTTTTCGTTACTTTTCTAAAATCAACAACCATCAATCATAACCTAAGGATTTTCTAGTCTCAAGCACTATAAGTGGTTTGTGTCCAATCGAATCATGTACAAAATCGTGTATAAAGTAACGATAAAAGTAACTAAAATTCGTTACCGAAAAAATTAACTGCGTTATCATTACAATTACCAAAAAAAAAGTAACGCAGTTATCAGTAAAGTTACTAAAAAAAGTAAACTTCGTTACAAATAACGAGTTACTTCCATTCTCTATATACAGAGTGTTTTATAAATACATGTCAATATTTTAGAAGGTAAATCTATACACTAAAATAAATAAAAAACATATGAACACACGCCCTATATACCTTAATTTTCAAATTATGGACGATTAAAAAAAAATATTTGAAATATTCGCCTCGTGCGTCAACATACGCTATTTCACGCCTTAGTATTGAGTTCCGCAATCGTTCAAAGATATTATTCGAATAGTCTCAAATCCATTTCGTAGCCTTTTTCGCAGATCATTCGGATTATTTACTGGCGTTGAATACACAATAGATTTTTAATGGTTTCAAAAATAAAAATCTAATAAACTGAGATCAGAGGAGATCATGGGGTGGATCCGCCTCGCCTTATCTATCGATTTGCGAATGCATTGTTTAGAAATGTTTTCACTTCAAGATGGAAATGAGACAGAGTACCGTCGAGCATGACCATCATAAATGCATCAAATGCATGCCGATTTCAGCATAAGTGTACATTTATTATTTTGCCACTTTTAGAACAGTATTTAGGTGTACAAAAAAGCAAGATCACTTTACGACGTCCTTGGCCAGTAAATGGCCTCTTTTTTTCTAATGCATCGCTCAAATTGGTCAATTGTTGTTGGTAGCAGTCTGCCGTGACTGTTTCACTCGGTTGTAACAACTCGTAGTACAACACACCCTTCCAATCCCACCAGATACAGAGCAAAACCTTCTTGGCGTGGATATTGGGCTTTGGCGTCGATGTCGAAGGTTGACCAGGATCAACCCATGATTTTCTACGTTTAGGGTTATCATAAAGAATCCACTTTTCATCGCCTGTAATGATTTTGTGCAGAAAATCTTTTTTCCGGAACTTTGAAAGTAAAGTGAGTGCAGTGTCACGCCGTCGATTTTTGTTGTCTTCGGACAATTCATGCGGAACCCATCTGCCTTCCTTCTGAACCTTTCCCATCGTATGTAATCGTACGGAAATGGCTTGCTGCGTAACGCCAAGCTGTTCTGCAAGCTCCTTTTCAGTTTGCGCAGAGTTTATATCCAGCAGTGCTTGCAATTCGTCCGTTTCAATCTTTTCAGGGCGTCCAGCACGCGATTCATCTTCAAGACTGAAATCTCCTTGGCGAAACTTTTGATACCGTCTTTTACATGTAGCATGACTTACAGCGTTCTCTCCATATGCAGCACAAATCATTGCAGTGGCTTCAGCAGCATTTTTCTTCAGATGAAACGCGAAGTGGATGGAAAATTGAATATGCTCTTTTGTTATTGCCATCGTGAACACTACTGATTTTTGAGGTTATGTGCATCAAACGCCAAACCGTATGGCATTTTAGAAGGCCAAATGTTAACGCTTTAAAACCGCAAAAGGGCGGGAAGATATATAAAATTTAAATTGTTATTTCGGTTGTATCAAATCTAAAGCTCAGAACTTTTTTGTACACCTAGAACGGTAACTCGTGAATATAAAATATTTGACTGTTTGAAATTCTGTCCAATTTATTGATGGATATTGTTTATAAAAATTAGATAATGTCGAGAGACTGTACTAAAATGTACAGTAACGTGTGTTGACGCATAAAACGAGCATTTTCTTTAATCATCCATAACTTGAAAACTAAGATATGTAAGATATATGTTGACGTTTTTTTATTTATTTTAGTGTATAAATTTACTTCTTAAAGTAATTGACATGCATTTATGAAACATCCTATATATGTGTACTTATATAATATACTGTACTATCATACTTATACGTATAGCTTATGTTCGGAATGTTATTAAATTGATTGGCGTACGACTCATAATAATTATTCATACAAGTATAATACATTTTATAAATGTATCTTTGGCAATGCATTAATCTTGGATTGCTATTTAACTGATGTATAATTTGTAATTTATCTATAAATATTTTGATGTGACTTGTATAAAATAACGATAAAAAAAAACTAAATTTTTAGACGAATTGAATATCTTAGTAAAACTAATCATCTAGTAAAATTAAAACGCAATGGGAGATTGTTCATAAAACTTAGAAATGGTCTTTTTTTTATTACGATAAGAAAATTATATTATTTATATCTATAAAGAACGACATTATATTACATAATTACACTTAAATGCTTCTAAGCTTTATTACAAAATCACAACTAATTGTAAAATCATAATTAATTATAAAATTTAATTTTACTAAAATACATCATAATCTTTTAAATAATACAGAAAGATATCACTGAAGTATCATTTTACAATCTATGCGAAGTTTTGATATTAAAAAGAATTAAAAAGATATTAAAGATATTAAAGATATTAAAAAGAAAACCTTTGTAAAATAAAATAAAAAATGCGACTGTGTGTTACACATTGATAAATATTAACAGGTCACAATGTTTTACATGCTTGCAAATCTTGCAAAATGATTTACAGAATATCTACAAAATTTGTATCACAATGACTGATAGACGTTTACTCATTCTGTCAAAAAATAAATAACATCATACGTTTAATTGTAAGTGTGCGTAATTAATCTCCCAAATTTTATAAATAAAGTCTAGTGCCTATAAATTTGATATCCATTTTATGTAAAATCTACCGTGAATGTTTTTATTAATTTTTTTTATATTTTCTATATTCATAGAACTGGACATTAGAGCCCGTTAATGTTTTCTGCAAAATTGATATACTTTTATATATTCAAATGTTAGGTAAAACTCGACATATGCGTGATTCCAATTGGTGGTAACAGGAAGGGTGCGCAATGTCACTCTGTGGTATTATTTCGTAAGATAATTTCACAGACTGCTTACTACAATTACTTATTATGGGCGCGGTAATGAAAATTGAAACGTGCGATGATGTGCTGCATCTTTTATCAACTTATCTGCCTTAATTTCATTAATATTGATATTAACATTTTATTTTACAACATAGATTGAACGTAGTATATGCAATGTAATTTGTAATATCAAGCGCATTCAATATATTGCATTAAAATTATTGCCTAAACAACTATTTAATTTGACTAGCAACCTTCTAATGACAGTCTTTGATTTATATTGTCAACTCTTAGCTTCATTTCCCTGAGAATATCCACGGCAAGATCATCGACCGTGGTGTACCGTACCTTGAAGAAATTAAATATATCTACAAGAAACTCGATTACTTGTTCCTTAAAATATTGACAAGTAGAACGTAGGCTCTCTTCGGAACCCAAGAATCCCCAAATGAACATCGGCGAGATTTGTTCGGAGATGGAGTAGAAATGCGCCAAGAAGCCTTGATCGTATTTCAGCATCTATCGCCTTTAAAAGTAATCGACGATTAGATAAATATTAAAAGCGCGATAGAAAATTTAGATTCATGTACATACAGTTTCTCTAAAACTGGCGGATACCCATCTATTTTGAATTATAGCTCTGACGGATGATGGTGGTTTCTCCACATCTTCGAACGCGTCTAAGAGTATGAAATCAATAAGCACGTCGTAAAAGTTCATGCACTTGACACCTCGGGCGGTCAATTCTTCCTCCATGATGCTATGATTGCGTGGCTCTTGTAGAAACTCCATCATACGCTCATAATACATTAAATAATCCTTAGGATCCTGTAATATAGAAATTTTTTCCTTTAATGTCAAGCGATTTGAATGTTTATATTATGTTTGTTTACTCGATTAATATTCTTACCCTATCCGCATACATAATTAAATCGCTAATGACTTGACGGCCTACGTCAACTATATATGCCGTTGCCGTAGGTAAATTAAATAATTTCGTATAGGCCTGACGCAGGCAGTATACTTTCGCTAAATATTCCACGTCTGATCCGCACTTTACGAGTTCTGTGTGTAGTCTCCTGTAATATATGATTATATGTTATAACCATACGTATAGAAATACAGATATAAACTGAACCAGTTTACCTGCAAGGAATGCCTTTATCTTCGTACTGTTTAAGAGCAGCATGATAAAGCTTTTGCTTTTCAAAGTGTGGAAATAGTTCTGAAAATTCTTCGAATTCACGTAAATCCGCAACCTGAAATAATGAGAAGCTAATCTATCGTTTTTCTTCTATCAAGAGAATTATCAGAAACAGATCATAATTATGAAAATAAATACATGACATAGATATTATTAGATATAAAATAATTGATCATTTTTCGAGAGTTATTGCACGTCTTTGAATTACATTAACGTCCCACAGCCACTCAACACATCCGTTTAATCTGTCGCGGGATACGGACAGATTATATTTATCTGTCTCGTGCATATAACTCACCCCGTCACGTGCAGATTCGAACGATTCGGGCGAGGATGCGGCGTCAGCTTTATCCCTGAAACCAAATAGCCGTGCACCAAAGTTTGAAGGTTTATCGAGGCTCTCCTCACTGTCGTTGCGGAATAAAACGGAGTGCTGTAGAAAAAAAGAAGATAAAGTAAGTAGACAAAGGTCAGAAGTTGGATGCGATATGGGTAAATCATAGATCTCGCGATAATGAATGCCCAATTCTCGATGTATTGCATTTCGAAAACTCAGATTGCTTTCGGAGAAAGTCATTCACTTCCTATGCCATTAACGTTCCGCAACAATTCCCGGCGGCTGGCGTCAGGTCAAGTGACTCGTTGCGCTAATTACCCCCGGGGCGGTCGTCATTTAAATTGGATTAATTTCCCACATTTTTTACCGGACCGGTAGAAGGGCAATTGATGATGAATGCAACGGAATGGAATGATCATCCGTTCCGTACTTCGTCTGCCCGCGAAAGACGGGTGGTGGTCTCTTCAGATTGAAAATTGGATCTCGTGGTCATACTGAGTCAGCGGATTAATTTTGCAGATTGATGGATAGAAGAGAAAGATACTGTACTTGATCGAGGAAAAGCAATTCCGCGTGGTTTTGGATCTGGTAGCCCATGTCGAGCAGCTCCTGCACATCGTGAGTGAACGCCGCATCGGCTTTCGACGGCAGAGCCAAGGTGTCGTTGCCAAGAGTCGAACTGAACGCGGTGAGCGCATCTTCCCAGCAATAAAGGGCCTTCTCCAACGCCTCGAGTCCTGTCAACGAGAACGGCATCAGTTTATCTAGGCGGGAAAAAAATTGAGTCCGGTTATATCAGAAGAAAAATAAACCATATTTCGTAATTAAAGTAATTAAAATAATCCGAAAACTCATCAAGAGGAAATGTAAGCAGATATTAAGTTACAGCCACAGTGGGAAAATAGATAACATATGATAATAAGAATTAATGATGTTGGTTATTGATAGCGAAGCGTAAAAGTCCACTCATCTAATCGTTCATGAAAAGAACGATTTTGTTGAAGCATTTAAAAATTTAACTAGATACAGATCTGAAAATAATTTTGCCGGACCATTAAAATCATTGTAGGAATCTCAAGCATGATGAGTAATGCTGCAAAAAGTTCTGACATTTTAGCAACGAGTTTGAGCAACCAGTTTTACATAAGGCTGTTCTTTTCTCTTCAGGAGGAAAGAAGAAGAAGAAAGATGAACTGGTGCAGTTCAACCAAAAAGAACAGACCTATTATGTTGATATTCTAACAAAATTATTTTGCGATCTGTATCTAATTAAATTTTTAAATAATTTAGCAAAGTCGTCCTTTTCGTGTGATAAATGTAATTTCATATTACTTTATGATGTTTACAAAGATATTATATATTAGGATGAAATAAGATAAAAAAATATATTAAAATATTGAGATTATTTTAATACATCTTTTCTGACGTAGGAATTCGAGCCCAGTTTCCAGCCAGCCAGAAGAATATATACCTTTCCCATCGTTTCTCGCGCAGGCAATTACGCTTTTTTCTAGAAAATTAATGAATTCGAAATTAATGTCGATCTGTGCGCGCGAATGATTGACGGTAAAAAGTGAAAGAAAGAGAGAGTCGAGGACGATCGCTACACTTGAGGACTTCAGGGATTCGAATTCCAAGTCGATGACGTCACTCTCCCTTTAGTCAATCTTTCGTAAGTCGTCGGAGAACATTCACCAATTTGCCACAACGGAAGTCCGACAATACGCCGCGTTAATTTGAAGGGCCGCCCCCCCCCTCCCTCCCCCACCGATTAATGTCCTAAAGGCTGATCCGTCATCATTTTCAATCTGTGCCGTTTACCGTCACTGACAATTATAAGTATACAACACCGACCAATGAAACTAGAACAATACGCGTGAGATCGATATCGTGATGATCTCGCGTGACAATTGACTCTTCGGAACTCATCGTTTAAATGGTTGCCAATCAGTGGCGTAACGAATTTTATGGAGGATACTTGATAAACTTATCGAGATATAAAATCGTTTTCGCGTCGAGTATTGTGAGATCACGAGACAACAACACAATAAATCAATTACGACGGATATTTTGTTCCTCTTGAGTTATTTCCGATTTTTCAAAGAGAGTCAAGTCTGCTTTGCAGGTCGGATGGTCGGAACTTTATCTCCATGGAATGAATTTTGCTGAGTTATCTACAAATTTAGTTAGATACAAGTCCAAAACTAATTTTGTTCGGAAATTCAAACATAATAATTGCCCAACTAATATCGCAAAAAATTTTGGTATTCTATTCTATATTATTATAAATTTTTTCTCAGTTTTGAATTAATGATCATTGAATTGTTAAATTAATCAGAGTTTGCTCGAAGTTGTTTAGACTTTGACTTGTTGACGAATTCGGGGTGGTCGAAATTCGCGATGGACGAGTGGATTTTAATAGGCGTGACGCGATTCGATTTTCGGAAACGTATAAAATGTCGATCGTTCGGCAGGAACAGGCAGGAGAAGGATTTCCGGTCGCACAACGTTAATTTTCGTCGACAGCTTTAATTTTGGAGATGGGAGGGTGTACATCTGTCCCTCCCGCGGGAGAATGCACAACACACGAGACGTGCCCGGAACGCCCCGGTTTGTTTGTGGCACGCTCGGCGGGCGAACATAAAGATTGCATTCCTGAAATTGAGTGAGGAAACGGAGAAGACCAAAACACGTATTCCGTATTGCGCCACTTTACTGTAATAATCTCGTGCTGTGTTCCTCTCGAAACGGATCGGCTTCGCAGATCGTATACCTTTCACAACGATTTTGTTGAAGTATCTAAAAATTTAGCCAGATACAGATCTGGAAAGAATTTTGTTGAACTCTCATAATTGTTACGTAAGACTCTCAAGCGTTATAATAAGCTAAATAAGCAATACTGCAAAAAGTTTTGACGTTTTACCACCAATTTGAGTATATTACATAATTATTTTAATGATTAATAAAATTATTTTTACAGATTTGTATTTAGCTAAACCTTTAGATACTTTAATAAAATTTTCTGCGTTCTTTCCATATTTAAAAATTTGAAAGAAAAGAATTTTTTTGAATCAAAAACAAAAGAAAAAACATATTTTTTTATATATTCTTTTTTTGTATTTTTGTATCTTTATGTCTCGTATAGCGTATCGAATATTCCTCTTAAAACAGACAATCGTCTTCGCATAGCTTTATTATTTATTTGTTACATGTCATTACTTAAAAATATTAAATGAATGTTTACCAAAAAAAGGTTCTGTTATTTTTCTTTGTGTTTTAAAAATGAATGTCATGCGAGATGCACATGTTTTCTTTCTTCCCTTACATCTGTAATTACATTCTTTCTTCCTACATTCCTGTGGGATTCATCTTCATTCCAGGTCAGACCATAACTCAAAAGAATAATCTATTTTCGAAGCGGCGTACGCGTGTTGCGAATTGTGGCAGGGTTTAATCTTTTTCAGAGAGAATTCCGCCATATCAAGGAAGTCCCGCCGGAGAAAAGTTTTCTCCCGAAAGGGTTAAACCTGCTGCGATCTCGCATCGGATGCTCGGTCATTACGCAACCCCCAGGACGATCCCGAGGGGTCGTAAGACACGGAGGGATGTCCCCCGGAGAAACGCGGCAGTGCGACGCCGTTGCATACGTCCGGCGTCAATAATATACCCCCGGAGTGACGTAATCGCCGGGCCGACCGGTCATTGGAGGATGCGTCATCCAATGGTGAAGGGTCGATACGACCCGCGCGCGCGCGCTCCCGCCGCTTTGAAGCTCGCGCACTTTGCGCCGAATGAAACAATTTATTTTATTTAAATTTACAATTTGCATCTCGCAAATCACCCCCTCGTGGCACTTCGATACAAGCAATTTAATGTAAGGAATATAATATAAAGTATACAATATATATTGAAAGTTTCTCTCTATGAACTCTTGAGAGACAAAATGCGCTCATTGGGAAAAAACACGCGTTGCTGATATTAAAGCGCGCGCACGTTGCGCAGGGGTGGCTATACGGAATCCTCGAAGGGCCATTCATCGGAATTAAACATTACGAGTTCGTACGCCCTCACAAGCTGGACGCGGCACCCTAACTATCATTCAGTATCGAGATCAAACCGCGATGTGTATGTGTGTGTGTGTGTGTGAGGATTAACTTAACGAATTAAACAAACATTTGTAATTCATAATGTTATGCGCGGCAAATACGATCGTAAATACGCAAATGAGAACATTGTTGCATTATAATTGTGGATATTATTTTTCATTTTTTTAATAACACGTGACAAAAAGCTCCGAGTTCGTTTAATTTCCCAAGGAAAATGGCCATCTTGTGGATTTCGTCCTTCCAGATTCGAATAAGAGGTCGTCGCAGTTTTTGATCCTGCGGGACCAATGGGAGCGCGAGAAGGACGGACGCTCGCGCGCTCATCGGCCGCGCGACAAGGACGGACGAGACGCGAAGTTAGGAGGGGAACGCGTTCGGCATTTCGCGCGCTGGCGTCAGTTACTCGGCTACGTTCAGCACTGTTGGACAGTACGTCACTCGTTCATCGCCGATCGCGCAGCGCGCTTCATCGTGGCGTTATTCTCGCACGTATACACGGACCGTTGACACGCGGAAGCCCTCGTCGACTGAGAGAAACAGAGGATCGTCCCCGTGCTCGTAGGATGATCGTTGTCGCGAGATTATAATTCGCGACAAAGAGAAACGAGAAAGAGATTTTCCGCTTCAGTGTCCCCGACGATTTTTACGTACGCGCGTTATTTGGATTAAAGTAGATTACCGACGAACGCGCACGCACGCAGACAGAATCATGGTGAGTATAGAAAAATCCTAAACGATTTTTTCCACGAAGATTAGAACGTTTCCTCGCAAGAAAATTACTGCGAATGTCTCGCTTTTCTCTGTAGAACGATAGGTCGTCGTAGAACGACAGGAGAAAATTCTGATCTCCCCGACACGGCCAGAATAATCTATTTGACATATATATAATTTCGTGCAACGTAGTTACAATGAACGCCATTTAATTCAACAGAATTCAGTATTTCATAGTTTCTTGGCGAAAAGAATGTCTTTCCCTTTTTCCGCTGTGTAACGATATCCTTTCTACCTGAAATCATTCTCCTTTTTTTGTAGAGTCGTAAACACTGCAATGGTTTTTCTTTTGAAATAATTACTTTAGAACAGATCCTTGCGAAGATATGAATCCCTAAGTTTTCTATTTCCATTCCGCGTCGACGGGGAGAGATTTCGAAAAAATTGGTATTTGATAAATTCGCTGGCAGACGTTACGCTGCGATGGCTTTACTTCAGGTTGATGCACTCAAGAGTGATGCAGAGAGAGGTGATAAGATTATAATAAGGAATCGAATTATTTCTCAGCATTTCACAAGGACGAAACATTCCTTTGATTCTCGATAAGATAGACTATTCGGGATAGATCAATAGAATCGATTGCGGGCCGCGCTAACCCCTTAGGAGAAGAAAATGGGTGGGATCGCATTATTTTCCTTGTCCCCCCCCCCCCTCTCGTGAGGGGAAAACGCATCCATCGTGAGAGAGATCGAGGGATTCGCGAACAATACGACCAGCCGCGGGTAACACCTGGGCGTACCTTGTTTATTGCGCAACAATTCACAACAAAAATCGAGTGTACGAGACGCGCGCGCAGCAGAGGGAGAAAGAGAAATTCTGGACCGAGATGAGAATGAACATCCTTGGGGAATGAAAATTTT